TCATTTCTGGGTTTTCAATTCTATTCCATTGGTCCTGAGGTCTGTTCTTATGCCAGTACCAAGCTGTTTTGATTACTATAAAGCCATTGATTTTTGAGGTTTAATTTTATACCCTGCTACTTTGTCAAAGTTTTGAATCAGCTTGAGTAATTTGGGAGTGGAGTCTATGGGATTCTTTAAATACAAGATCATGTCATCTGCAAAGACGGAGAGTTTTTCTTCTTCTTTCCCTATTTGGATCCCCTTTATGTTTGCATCTTGTTTTATTGCTGTAGCTAGGCATTCTAATACTAGATTGAAGAGAAGTGGAGAGAGTGGACATCCTTGTCTTGTTCCTGAGTTAAGACGGAATGGCTTTAGTTTTTCACCATTAAGTATAATGCTGGCTGTAGGTTTGTCATATACAGCCTTTATTGAGGAATGTTCCATGAATTCCTTATTTTTCCAGAACCTTCATCATAAAGGGGTGTTGGATCTTGTCAAATGTTTTTTCTGCATATATTGAGATAACCATGTGGTTCTTATCCTTGCTCCTGTTGATGTGATGAATTGTATTAATTGATTTGCGTATATTGAATCGGCTTTGCATCCCTGAAATGAATCCTGTTTGATCGTGGTGTATGATTTTTTGGATGAATTGTTGAAGTCGATTGGCCAAAATTTTGTTGAGAAGTTTTGCATCAATGTTCATTAAAGAAATGGGTCTATAGTTCTCTTTCTTTGATGAGTCCCTGCCTGGTTTGGGGATGAGGGTTATGATGGCTTCATAGAATGTGTTCGGTAGTGAACTCCATTTACCTATTACTCAATCCTCTTCTCTTCCTCCCACTATTTTAAATATTTGTGTTTATTATTTCCTTGATTTACTACATTAGTTAAGTTTTAATTTAAAAATTTCAAATAGCAAATGCTATTTGAATAAAGAGAAAAATGCTCTTTGAGCTGCAAATGACACATGTAATTTTCTCTCTTCTGAATTTCTTGTAAACCAGGAGTTTAATCTAGATGTTAGATGATACCGAAGATTCTTCTGTTTTAATTGCTAGAACACTTCTTTGATGGTGTTATATCCTACCAGAAAGTGATGTCTGGTAGTATGTACTTTTGTGTGCTGTTGGAATTGATCACTGAGTTCAAGTGTTTGGGCCCTGATTCATCCATTTCAGGTTCCCTAGGTGGTTTTCTCTGGATGGTTATATTTAGCAACTGAAGATGATCATTTCCTTTGTCCAGGACTTCAGTGGAACATAGAAAATAGTGATACTCTAGATATGATAATACTTCCATTGTAATGGATTGGCTGGAATTTTAAAAGTAATTCTTATGATCTCTGATTATCCTGAGACATAATTTATGTGGGAGCTACATCCTTTTCTTCTTTTTCTTCTTCTGAGTACTGGAGATTGAATTCAGAGCCTCAAATACGCTAGGCAGCCACTCTGTCATTGAGTTATAGCCTCAGACTGCTACATGTATTTCTATTTTTTAATTTTTTTAAAATAATGTTACTTATAGGGTTTCCTCGAGATAACTAGGCAAAAAGAAAGAAAATTGTTGCTGTTGTTTTCTTGAGAATCCTTATAAATGGATTTTTTTTAACATTTTTACTTACATTAGAATTATTTTTTACAATTGAATGAATGGATGGATAAGTAAATACATAAATAAGTTAAATAATGTTTGCTGGCCTTTCATTGGGATTGCATTTTTATTGCTAGATCACTCTGGAGAGAACTGATTCTAAATAGTATTTCTACTGAGATTTGCATAAATTTCTTGTAATAATGGTTTACAGACACTTGCTTTTTGCTTGTTCGCCTTGTGTCATGTATGCTTGTTAAACTCATTTCTTGTTTCTAGGAGAGTTCCTTTCAGATTTTTTGGAATTCTTCTATTTGGGTAGTCACGTTATCTTCAAGTAAATATAATTTTCTATCTTTCACTCCTTTTTCTTGCTACATCTCCTACAATGTTTAATAAAAGTAGTGAGAATGAACATTTTCCCTTTTCCCCCAGTTTTTCAAAGGACAGCTTTTGGGGTTCCTGCCCCTTCCCTGTGGGCTCCAGCCCCTGCTGTGTATCAGTGTAGGATCTTTGGCCCAAGTAGTTTTCCTGTTCCTCCCCCAGGGAAAGACGGTTTTGCTCCCCACCTCTTTCCTCTGGCTTTGTATTGGAATCACTGGCCAAAGGATTTTCTGGCCCCTGTCCAGCTGTACACTGTTGTTTCTTGTTAGGAGCCTGCAGAACTTTGCTAGGAGGAGGGTTTCCTGACCCTTCTGCAGCCCCTTAAAGGTTTTACTTCATGTGTGAGAAAGTCCAGGAAGTAGATTAGAGTTTGGTTGCTTTTGTTCCTACAAAGGAGTCTAGCTTGTTCAGGTCTCTGCACTGTACCAGCCTTGTAGGAACATTCTTCAGAAAAGGACTTGTGAGTCTGGGTGGACTCCCTTGTGTCTAGGGCTCTCATGGTATACTACTCACAAGTCCTTGGAATTTTAACTCATTTCTTCATTCATGGCATTTGTATCCTTGCTTCTCCTTGTCTAATCATGCCTAACTAAACCACACAGTTTAGTTGTGCTGAGAATCTCATGTTAAAGGAATGATGCCATATAAATTCTCTTGTGTCTGATCTCTTTCACTCAGTATCATGTTGTTAAGAACTGGCGGTGGCTTTGTGATTATTTTTTTATTCCTTTCAACTGATCATTAGTATCTCATTATGTGTGTACCTAGTTTGTCAAAATACAGTTTGTATAGTTTATACTTCTTAGCTGCTACAAATAAATTATACATATGTCCTAATGCAAATTTCCATGGGACACTGATTCTCAAATACCTCCTCCTACCAGCAATTCTGGCTTCTCCTATATATATATATATTTTTTTTTTAACTGCATTCTAGAGCTGCTGGGATCAGCAAGTTGTGTTTTAATAGACCTCAGGGTGTAACTGTACCTGCTAAAGACTGAGAGCCTCTGGGAGATTCGTAAGGGGAAGAGCTCCTGGCACATAAGGGATAGATGGACAATGCAAACTGCCTTCTCAGTGGCAGTACCAGATAGCCTACTCAGATGGCACCATATCATTAGTGTCCTTGGTCTGTTCCTTGCTAATTCCCTTTTTTATTGTTATTATAAAGGTAATGTACAATAGGGCTACAATTATCTGTCAGGTAAAGAATTTCTTTTTGGACAGTGTCACCCTGTCATCCCTTTACTCTCTGTTTTTCCCTCCCATCCCATCCAACCCACAAGTTCTTTTTTCTTTTTTCTTTTTTTGTTTTGGTCGGACGTGGGGCTTGAACTCTAAGCTTGGGCGCTGTTCCTGTGCTCTTCAGCTCAAGGTGAATGCTCTACCACTTGAGTCACAGCACCACTTCTGGTTTTCAAGTGGTTTATTGGAGATAAGAGTCTCATGGACTTTCCTGCCCGGGCTAGCTTTGAATCGTGATCCTCAGATCTCAGCTTCCTGAGTAGTTAGGATTACAGGCGTGAGCCACCAGCGTATGGCTCAACCTACAAGTTTTTAAATTCATTTTTAACATAGTGTCTCTTGAGTACCACTGCTGCATAATTCTCTTCTTATATTATTTTCACCATATTTTAGTAGATTTAATTAGTTGTGCAAAGGAATTTGATTTTGATACCACATATGCGTGTGCATATATATATATATACATGCACATATAATGTGTATTGATACACAATGATCAGACAACCCTTTATCACTCTCTCCTTCCCTCACTCCCTTTTTTCCCCTCATTTTAGTATATTTATTTGTAAAACTAAAAATTTGGTTACTGGCCTGTGAAATGTGAAAATATGAATTAAATGCTTTAATACATCATCACATTTGCTTTTGGTGCCAAGACCCAGCACACACAGAAAATTCTACGCATATTTATCAAACTGACTTTTCCCATACATTTTCTTCAGTTTAAGGTTCTTTCTTTTTTGTTTTTATTTGTATTTGTTAAAGCTGTAGTCAAGAACAAAACATATCAAATTAGTCTGTAATGCCATTGGAAAGATCACATATTTTTCTGTTTTTTGTTCTTTTAGCTTTTATCTCTTCTTTTTGAAGATTTGTTCAAAAAATTTAATTCTGAGATGAAGAAGATTGCAGACCAGGTGATTCCTAAACAAAGAGCAGCCCAGTTTGACGTGGTGAAGCACATGCGCCAAGACCAGATCACCAATGGCATGGTGAATGCCATTTCTACTGTGAGTCTCTAGTCTTTCTTTCAGAACTTTTCAAGTTGGGAATCTGTTCAGTAAAATGGAAATGTGAAAGACTGAGAATCCAGGTTTTTAAAAATAAAAAACAATATATGCAAATCACAAATTTTCTGCTTGACAAACAGTAATTTTCCTCTTTTATTATTATTGTTATTAACCTCTTACTGTGCCTAATTTATAAGTTAAACTTTTTCATAGCTATGTAGTATAGGAAAAACAGTAAGATGTACCAGGTTCTATGCTTTCTGTGGTTTCAGACATCCCCCGGGGGTCATGGAGGTATTTTCTATGGGAAAGGAAGGACTACTGTACAGTTTTCCTGCCAACTTTGCATTCCTGTTCTATGAAGCACTAAGACAGTAACAGTAGATACACTTGCATTGAGGGAAATACATGTTTTAGTCTAACAACTATTAATAGCTGTCTTTTAAAAGGTACTTATCTCCATTTTTTCCTGTAATAAAGTTGACATATATCAGTTAGGCTTATTAATTGGATACTTTTGTCCAAAAGAATACAAAAGTGTTTTATTTCACAGAAGGTTTCTGTTCTCCAAAGGCCTATCAGCTGTTCTTCCCTGAGTGATGAATTCAGCCCTCAGCAGCTGCTGTGTATTCAGGGCCTTGAGCTATTCATGAAAGTTTATCAGATAGGGTTTTTCTCTCTTTCTTAAAACATAACAACTATAGGTCTATCAGATGAAGTCTGTTTCACGGTTTATATCCCAGACACACAATTAGGTTTATGGATGGCACCTTGCCCCAACAAAGAATAGTGTGGCCCACCATGGTTCCCTAAACAATGAAGAGTAGTGTGGGCTTGTCACCATAGTTGACTTCAGAGGTTTACATGGAGTCTATGCGAGCAGCTCTTGCAGAGAGAGCAATGACCAAGTGGAGGTTTACCCTGCCTGTGGCTGGTGCATGCGCCAAACTCCTGTGGCCCAGACTCATTTGAAGAAAGATATCCCAGAATGTGAGAAAGCCTCGGAGAGCTTGAACATAGTCCTTGCGTCCTGATTCATTCTCTTTAGGTCATAAGAGCTATTTGTGGTAGTTCTTTTCCCCCTGAGGTGACATTGCTTTGCCTTCCCAGTGGGACTGTTTAGTGCTAGGCCTTCTGGCTGGCATGTCCCTATCTGAAAGTGACCAGGAAAAGAGCAACTTATATTGCCTTATTTTAGCTCTGTGCTCAGTATTTATTTACCTTATTTACCCTTACTCTCTGGGTAGAAGTCAGGTTCTACAGTCATTCTCATTCCAAGGTTGAAAGGAGTTCAGTGAGCAGTACAAGAAGTTAATTTGTGGAATACACGTGTTTGCCCTGTTTCTTTGCTTTGGATAAAATTTCTTCCTAAACTTCAGCTGTTTTCTATATTGCAGAAGATGCAAGGTTCCCAGGTGATCTTACTGTAGTGTAATAAGTATAATTGGTTGTAAGTATAAAACTTGTATCATTTCTGAGGATGCTCTGACACATTTCACCTTTCCTACCATAGGGATTTTAAAGATGGTATTTGTGAATCTTCTCCTGAAATTGAATATAAAATCTGCATTCATGTTCTCTGAACATTTTCCTCAGTAAAATACTCATGGCCTTCATCAGGTTCTTAAAGGAGACATGAAGATTCAGATTTCTCTTTTAAATCAGAATTGATCCTACTGGTTTTGTTGTTGTTGTTGTTATTGGTTTACAAAACTTTTATTTTCTACTATTCTGTTTCAGTGCATGTTTCCCTGAATTTGTGTTTGGGGGAAAATTATTTCATATGCACAACTAATGCAACCATCAAATAATATTATTTACAGCCAGCATAGTGTTCTGCACCTGCATTCTTAACTTCTTGGGAGGTAGAGATTGGAAATATCATTGATTTGAGGTTAGTTAGCTCAAACTAAAAGTTCACGAGGCATCTCAACACAAAAATTGGTGTGCTGGTTTCCTGCCATACCATGATCTACCCAATTTCAGTCTACCACACAGTTTAGGAGGTACATGTGTGCTACTGTACCCCACTGTTGATTGAGAAGAGATCTAGAATGTTTCTGCCCAGTGTGGCTAGGATTACAAGCATGAGCCAACAGTGCCCTTTTTGCACTGGCTATTTTTGAAATAAGGTCTCACTTCCTGCCTGTTGCTTGGATAACAAGTGCACACTGCTAGGCCTAGTTCTAATTGAGAAAGAGCCTCAAGAATTTTTTCTGTCCAGGCTGACCTTGAACCAAGGTCTCCCAATCTGAGCCTCCCCGGTAGCTAGAATTAATGGCATTAGCCACCAGTGCCAGCTTATTTCTTAATATGAATATATATATGTGTGTGTATGTGTGTGTGTATATATATATATATATATATATATACACACACACACATACACACACATATATATATAAAAGATACACACACATTTTAGATTTCCTAGGCATTGACTAAGACACAGTTTGGCATCAGACTTGGTAATACAAAACTGTACAAATTCAGTATGAGACCATGTCTGAAAAACAAACTAAGAAAAGCAAAAGGACTAGAAGTTATGGCTCAAATCATAAAGTATCTGGGTAGTGTGCACAAGGCCCTAAGTACTGCAAAAAGAAACAGAAGCCTATAATTTATTCATTATCCCTAATAACTACTCTCAGAGTTGCCTTTGTTGTGCTATATTTGTCTCTAAGACTAACTTTGGAAGATATCCACATCATCCCAATATTAGATTATCTCTTTGGACTCAAAACTAGTTTTACCCTTAATGTGTGTGGAAAAGGCTAGTGTTGGGTTAAACTGACTTACTCAGTGTGGAATGAGTTCGATGGCTGCTCTGGTATGAGATGTTTGATGAACTGAAGCATGCTGAGATAATTTCCAAACATAGTTCTGATTTCGTATATTCCCAGAACATCCCTGCAAGTGACCCTGCAGTTTTGATTTATTTACTGAATGTCTATCATGGCTACAATTTTGTAACGAATCATTTCCAATGGTGAACTTCTCAGATTGACTCCTCAGGTTCAGGCAGCAGATGAAAGGGTTGAGGGTCGTCTATCATTCATCTCTCTGCAGGGAAATTGGTCTCTAAAGAGATTTAAAATGGACCGCCAGGGTGTGACCCAGGTGCTATCCCGCTTGTCCTATATATCTGCTCTGGGCATGATGACAAGAATCTCTTCCCAGTTTGAAAAAACAAGAAAAGTGAGTGGTCCTCGCTCCCTCCAGCCATCTCAGTGGGGGATGCTCTGTCCTTCTGATACACCTGAAGGAGAGGTAAAGTACCCAGCAAGTTTCTGTGGGGTTAGAGGTCATAACTGTTGGGATGTAAAACTCTTGGTGTTCTGCTTCTGTTCCAGCCCCCTCTGCATATCTTCTGTTTTGATTAGCCACTTATTTGGCAAGAAATGTTAATGCAACTTGTCAAGATTACATCGTTATCATTCTAAAACCTTTTTTTTTTTTTTTCCAATCCCGGGGCTTAAACTCAGGGCCTGGGCACTGTCCCCGAGCTTCCTTTGCTCAAGACTAGCATTCTACCATTTGAGCCACAGTGCCACTTCCAGCTTTTTCTGTTTAGTGGTACTGAGGAATCAAGCCCAGGGATTCATGCATGCTAGGCAAGCACTCTACTACTAAGCCATATTCTCAGCCCCTCATTCTAAAACCTTTAACCTGAAGAAGCATCTGATTCATATCTTACATAAAGAGAGGCATGTACCATTTCCATGCTTATCTTAGTTTATCCCAAGAATGAAACCAGGCAGTGAAAAAGGGGTAAGAGTATAGACAACTGGGAGACCCATTACCTTTGATGCTCCCAAGAGTAAGAGTGTTTAGAGGACCTCATGTATTTAGTTGTAGCCAACTAGGTACCTACAGTCCAAGATAAAGTAGTTATGACTTACATAGGAAGCAAAAACCATTGTTCCAACTCAACCCAGGATTTACCTACATTTACTTTTATATCCCCTGTTATTCCCTGGGTGGCTCCTTCTTTTGGATGTAGTCATTCTTACTGTCACTTGATTCTGTTCCTTCAAGCAAAGGGTCATCTATGTATCTCAGCATGGCCTTTCTGATCCAGCATCACGTACTGCTTGATCACCGGTGGTCTCTCTTACCTTAGAATGTCCTTTATTCTTTCTTTGCCTTTCATAACTAAGAAACTTCAGTGTTCTGGCTGGCTCTTTTATAAACAGTCTCCATTTCCAGCCAGAAGTTTTATGTGTTCACGTAGCCACAGTTATCCCTATCTTTCTCTACCATTTTCCCCATTATCAACAAAACAATTGTGATGTTCCATTGTCTGCTAATACCAGTTTGCACAGTCAGTTAACATGTATGGTCATCGTTATTTATAATTACAAGCAGTACTGTGTTGAGTATTTCTGTGACTGGATCTATTTTACATTCTTCTTAAGACACATTTCTGGGTTAAAAGAGGGTGTGTGTGCGCGTGCATGCATGTGCATGTATGTGTGTGTTTTAAAGGCTTTCCTGTGAATTGCCTTGTGTACTACTTTTTATTGCCAACAGCAAAGTGGTAAAGGTATTTTTCAGACACAGATTATACTTTGCATTATTAATGTTTATTTTAGAAATCACCATGTTATAATTTTTTTCTTTTTAGGCCTGTGGTTTGGTTAAAAACTTGGCCCTTATGACACACATCACAACTGACATGGAAGATGGACCTATTGTTAAGCTAGCTAGTAACCTGGGAGTAGAAGATGTAAATTTACTATGTGGGGAAGAACTTTCTTATCCAAATGTGTTTCTGGTCTTCCTTAATGGTAAGTATCCTATAGAGACATTCATTCTAAAACAACCTGTTGGGAGTTGAGAGAAAATCCATTACTTCTTTCTATTTAAAGCACAAGCATACCTTAAATTCTGGGCCCAGAATTACCCTAATGGCTGCCAAGGGAGAATAAAGTTTCACGTGGTATCATTCAGAGCAAGTTAAATAGATGAGTTATTCTGCAGACATGATGAAATCACCCTAGAATGCAGTGATCCTGTGCAGTCATGATGAGGGGTATATGAGCAGCTGTGGCCAGTGCCCCTTCCAATGGCTTATCCTTCAATTGCTTCTTTCATTATCCCTGCCTCCTTAAGAAAGGTGGCATCAGTTTCTCCATCCTTTTCTTGTACTGACTTGGTATAGTCTCTGTACTCATTTGATGTGCTTATCCCATGCTGCTTAGTTAATGCATCTTTTAGTCCCCCACTGCCCCCATTCCTCCCAGCCCAAGGTCCACTAACCCTTTACAGTGTAAGCTGGCTGGTGAGAAAGGGTCTGTGAACTGCCTGCCTTGCCTAGGGCTGACCAGAGTGGATGCTCACTCTGCACTCTCATTCCATACTTCCTCAGCTCACTGATGGTAACCACACAGCATGGAGTAGCTGTAAGGCAGGGGTTGTCCTTAGCATATCATATAGATCACTTCATGACATCTGCACAACTTACATGCTGTGAGAGGGCCAGGGTTCAGATCCCAAGCTCATGCCTATAACACTGTGCTGACAGCTGAGGAAAGGAAAGCTAATATTCCCAGAATTCCTTAGCCAGTGAGTGGTGGTAGTATAGACCTCAGTCTGTCCACGACCACACTGTGTCTCTTCCTATGGCCACAATGTTAATAAATAGCATGTCCAAACAACTACTCAGTGCACCTTAGTGTTTTCACTGTATGGATAAATCGGATTTTATCACTCAGGTGATTTGAAATCATATTGCATCTATTTCTGTCTTACTTTGTCTTATTTCCTTTTCTTAGGTAACATCTTGGGTGTCATTAGGGACCATAAAAAGCTAGTGAATACATTTCGACTGATGCGAAGAGCAGGCTATATCAATGAATTTGTTTCCATATCAACAAATCTGACAGACCGATGTGTTTATATTTCCTCTGATGGAGGAAGGCTGTGCAGGTATATTTCCTTAAAAGAATTCAAGTGTCTTTCTATAAACTGTTGAAAAAAATAGGCTCATTTTTATTAAGCTGCTTTAACCTTTTTCACTATTATGATAGTTCAAAGATTGATAGGAGACAAAGGAAGGTCTAAAGTTTGTAGAAGAAAGAAGCTGCCCTCAGAGAACTCAGTCCTATGGGAGAGACAAAAATATTTACTAGTTAGTAATGGTCAGCTCTTTTAGTAACTAATGCTACCCACTTTTATTTTAATTGTATTCTGTGTGAGTAAGGCTTTAACTATATTCAGCCCCATGATATGAGATGGTTTTCATTTAATAAATGAGAAAACTGAGATTCCCTAAGTTTATGTTATATACCTAGAGCTAGAGGGTGGCACTGTAAGTTTATAGAACTCCCTTGATTCTAACAATCGTGAGTAAACTTACTGTATTTTATGGCTACAGTAGTACTTGGGTACAGAGGAAAAGGAGAATAGCTGGGAAAGGCAATAATGAAAATGTAAAAGCATGAAGAAAAAAGAATAGCATTAGACCCAGTAGAAAAGTGGGTTACTTTTGTTCATTCAGGGAGCATTTATTAAGGACTTCATGCACAAATTCTGTCCAGCATCTTGAGGTACAGAAACAAATATGACATAGTGTCTACTCCTTTAGGGAGGGACGTACAGGGATGCTGTTAAACTTTTAAGACTGCCCCTTACTCTTTACTTCAAGGTCTTTGTAACTACTTTAGTTAGTGTTTTTTCTATGCCTGAACACATCCTCATTTTCTTTGATTTTTATCCTTTTAGTAAATTCTGAATGTTACCAGTAAATTCCAGTTTTGCCTAAAGTAGCCAGAACTGGTTTCTCTGATGGTATACCTGGAAATGATGTATCTGTCTTTGAACTCCAACTTGCCACTTTCTGACCTAATACATTGCATAAGTTGCTTCTGAGCCTTGGTTTTCTTAACTGTAAAAATGGAAGTGATAAAGTCTACCTATGTTTGTTCTGAGAAGTGGCAGGATATTGTACACACTCAGAGGATTTTGGACAAATTAAGTGCTTTTTTAAATAGCTATTAACAATATGACCTAATTATGAAACAATGACAGATTCTAGATTATTCTTTTTCCAGCACTTGTCTCTTGCATGCAGTACATTCAGGCATATTCTGAAAGGAAACTTTTTTTTTAGAAGTAATTTTGTAATGACAGACCATAGATTTGCCAGAAAGACTAGAACTTACTGAGGTGACAGCACTTCTCCGTCCTGCTCCTGTCTCTGAGTGTCAGCCTGAACTCTAGCAGCTCTCCAGTAGAGTGTACTGTCAACTCTCCTTTCCCTACCAAGCACAGCCAGGCTTTCAGGGTGCCGTGGGTATCCATGAACAGCTACCCTGTTCACTTTTTAGTAACTTTGTGATTGGGCTGCTCTCTTTTTGGTGCTTAAAACTGCTCAGTAGTCCTCGCAGAGAGTTATCTGGGCTGCAGGGTAAGTGCACAAGTGTCTGTTGGCTACTTGCTTCCCTCTGTAAGAGCTGCTTATCCAAATAGCAACAGCCCTTGACGTTTCCGAGCTGCATGCCATCCTTTGTGTGGGTGTTTCCTTGTGGTGGTGAAGAGCTCAGAAGCAAATCACCATTGACAGTTACAGGTTAATCTGCAGAGTACTCATTCTACCTTCCACCTGAGAAATTGCTAGAAATCACAAAGCAGGGAAGCTGTTGTCTGCAATCGTATATCACTCTTTTTGGTCAAGTGTCACTTTAACCTGTTAGTTTAGCTGAGTGACCTTTATTCTAAATCAAACGACCCTCAATATCTGGCTGTTCATTAGATCTTCTGTTGATCCTGTTTTCCTCAGTGACAGGTTTCTTTGCCAGCAGACTCCTTAGGTATTTTATCAGGTACTTGTTACCTGTATGAAATGCATTCTAGGGCCTTCAGTGGATGCCTGGAAACCACATATTTTTCTAAATCTTATGCATGCTAAGATAGTTTTGATCTGATAACTGAGACTGCTATAAATGAGTAATGGACAGGTAACCTGTGTCATGTGGGCTCATTAGACAAAGGAACATCACATCCTAGGCAGAATGGAGTGAGAGGATAGAATTATTTCTGTAGTTTTCCACGTAATATTTCCAAACCACCATTGACCTTATGTAACTGAAATCAGTAAAAGCAAAACTAGAGAAGCTATAGATAAAGGGAGAGTACTATAGACCAGATGCTCTGCCATGGACCATCAGGAGATGCTTCTGGAATGAATGACACCTTTCCAGTTTTGTTTAAATACTATGTAAAAGCTTCATTTCTCTTCAGACTTTATTGAGCATCATCTTGATGCTGCTTTTTCATTTAAAACCAAATGTTTCCTAGGAAACTTGGAGGAAGTACCATATATGTACATGTTTATGAATGTATATGCTCACATGTACATGAACTTGTGTGCATGAGAAACAGAGGCTAGGTCCCTACGTGCTTATATATGCATGCAAAAAGTACCCAGTGTCTACAGGAAATTAGGAATGAGTGTATTATCTAAATCTTCTCTCATTCTGCTGTGGTAAGCGTAAACAGTCAGACATAATTCTTCTGAGTCATAACTATTACTTTGCTTTTGTTTTTTGTTTTTCATTGTAGACCTTACATAATTGTTAAGAATCAGAAGCCAGCAGTCACTAATAAACATATGGAAGAATTGGCTCAGGGGTACAGGTAAACATCCAAAAGTAAAAATTACCAATCTCCTTAAATATACACGTTCTTTAATCAGCTTACATGACATTATTTAATCTGTTCTTTTTAAGAAAAGTATACTGTCATACTAGTCTCTTAATTCCTCTCCACCAAATACATCAGCATGTAAGCATTCTCCATGTGAAGTTCCTTGGCCATGGTGAAGTGTTTATTGCATTCGATCATGAGGCTTACAGTGTCTTGGCATTAACTCACTGCACTATTAAGTGTTTCTAGTAAGAAAAGAACTCACAGTAATATGTTGATGTAGACATTTTGAGTTTCTCTTTATTTTATTCTTGTATTTTATTGATATACTGGTATACTGGCCTCAACTCAGAGCCTCATGCTTGTTAGGCAGGCATTCTACTACTTGAGCCACACCTCCAGCTTTAAAGTAATGGATTTTTTTAAAAACTGGGGAACAGATGGACAAAAAGCACAGACTTTCAGGCTTTTGTTTCAGTGATGTATGATCACACTATAATCCAAGAGTATGTTTCAAATATCCAATTAATTAATATTTTGGGAGACAAAAGTACTTTGGGCCTAAATGAAAGACAGGATTTTTTTTGTGTTATTATATGCGATATTACAGTAAAATGCTATTTAACAATGCCTCTTTAACAACATATTCCCAGGAATTTTGAAGATTTCTTACATGAAAGTCTGGTTGAATATTTAGATGTGAATGAAGAAAATGACTGTAACATCGCCCTTTATGAACACACAATTAATAAGTAAGTAGCAAAGCTTGCTGTACCTGTACCAACTATCTCAACTGTACCATCCTCCTCAGTTCTTCAGTCATGTCCAATAAGAACTGTTACAAAGATGAGATAAGAATTGAAAGTATCTCAAAGCTGCAAGCAAGCCATCTTTGATTCAGTTAGTCTTCCTATTTGTGACACTAGTGTACATTTTTAGGAGAAATTGCTTCTCTGGTTTTAATATCCAGTTAGTGTTAAAAAAATTTTTTTGGACCAATCATTGGTCTAAAATGTGTTCCATTTCTTCTAGAGAAGATTTTGTCATGGGACATCTCAATTCTTATTGTCAGTGCAGGAATTACAATACAGTATGTCTCTAAGCTTATGTGCAATGTAAACTTGAAATGGTAATGTGTTCAGAATATTCCTTCTAGAGTAGTGATGTTTTAAGAGCCATCTAGGGTCCATTTTCAGTATACTAGAAGATGTCTTTCTATCTTGCTTTGTTGTACATATAAATAATGTACCACTTGGGTAAGATTAGAATGTTTTCTGCTACAAAATGAAATATGTCACTGTATTTATATTATAATTTGGTAAGCACTGCTTTTAGATAAAACTTTTATTCCTTAAAATTGTGAATCTCTGAACTTAGATATTATGTGATCTTATATATGTTGCTATCATGTGATCTTATATATGTTGCTGTCACAACAAAAAGGGAAAAAACGGTGTGATGCTTCCTTTCATTCTTTTCAAATTACCTCAATCTTTATTTATAAAGTGGTTTTCAATTATCTGGAAAATATCACCCTGGCTAGTATGTAAACAGAACAGTATACTTAAAACAAATGTTGTTTCACTCTAGTCTGAAAATACAGTTTCAAGTTGTTGCTTTTAAAAAAACAACAATAAAAGTTAGAACCCTTTCCTGCTGACAAAGACCTAGGTATCTTAAGAGGATTGGGATTCTGCTAGGTCCTAAGGAAATTGATGTTCTTCCAGGACCTATGTCACTAAATTAGGGACATAATTCAATACATGTATTGGAAAAAATAGATGAATAAATTCATGAACAAGAGATCTGTTACCAAGTACGTTGCAGTCAGATTTCTATGGAGGGTTGGGACCTGGTCTCTTAGAAATTCTCTACAAGTACTAAACTACACTTAAAGTTATTAAGGTTCCACTTTATAAACACTTGGAAGGAAGAATTACCAGAGACCATAGATCTGGAATATATTATCTATTGTAATACCTAGAAATAACCTGGCTACTTTTTCCCATTAAAGCTTCTCATTTGCTTTATTATATAGACAAAACTGTTTTCTTTAAAAACATAAAAGTAACTAAGGTTCTAATACCTATCTAATAAAAATATAGTACACACCATAAGTGTAAGTTCAAATTTCCTAGTAGCCACATTAAAAAATGTAAAAAGTCACAGGTAAGATTAATAATATTTTATTTAGCCCACCATGTCCAAATATTATGTCAACATAAAATGAACATAAAAACATAGAAATAGTCTACTTTTTTGTTATTATTGTTGGTCACGGGACTTGAACCTAGGGCCTGGGCGCTGTCCCTGAGCTCTTTTCTCAAGGCTAGTGCTCTGCCACTTTGAGCCACTGCTGCACTTCCAGTTTTCTAGTGGTTAATTGGAGATTGGAGTCTCACAGATTTTCCTGCTTGGACTGAGTTTGAACTGTGACTCTCAGATCTCAGCCTCCTGAGTAGCTAGGATAACAGATGTATGCCACCAGAGCCTAGCTATTTTACTTCTTTTTCTACTACTTGTCTTCAAAATCTAGTAATACACTTATAACACATCTCATTTTGAAAGCCTAATTTCATTAGCAATAACTCAAATCTGATTTTATAAACTTATAGTTGAAAAATATAAATTGTTTCTATTATAATTAATTTTTTAACATTTTCAGTAACAGTTACTTATTTTAGACTTGACTTTTAAATTGTAAAATAAAAATTGAGCTCTTCAGTCCTAGTAGCCTAATGTTTCAAGTGCTCAGCAACCATTGTCAGCCAGTGGGTACCATGTTGGTTCCCATTTGCCCTCATAACTTCATAGAGGAGTTCTATTCTAACATGACAATATAGTCTTCTCATTGATGTAAGTTGGGAGAATAAGGAACAGCAGGCTACTCATCCATGTGGAAATTAATACTGCATTTCTATGTTCTGTATAGTAATTTATTTGCTACATATTAATAATAGCACATTATTATAATTCTTCATTTTCTACAAAAAGCAGTTCTACAGTTTCCCTTCTCTTGTGTTTGTCACTAGTAAATTTTCTATCATTGTTTTTTTGAATTTTCATGCTTTTTTATATTTTATTTAAACATTATTAGATCACTTTTATTGGCATTGAGGTTGATTTGCCCCTTGGGGACATAGTAATATTTTTTCATTCCTGTTAAGAAACTTGATATTTAAGATACCTAATTTTTCATTAACTTTCTAGAGATACTACCCACTTGGAGATTGAACCCTTCACTCTTCTTGGTGTCTGTGCTGGCCTGATCCCATACCCTCATCATAACCAGTCCCCAAGAAACACCTACCAGTGTGCTATGGGCAAACAAGCCATGGGTAAGATTTCTTTCTCAAACTTGGTTCAAAATGTTTGCAGAAAGCTGTTACATCTTTTCACTGGTATTCCATGTTTGGGTCAATCAGGTAACAGTGATGCCTGAGCATCGTCTAGCTCAGGGTCCCCTGTGGGGTTCAGGGCTTTGCCCTGTGAACCACTTAAATAGAAATGCAGATCTCTCTCCACTTGTTCCCTTAACCAAAGAAAGTGACAAAAATGTCACAGAATAATGAGAGAATAAAAACAAAGTCCTTTATAGGTAAAGTGTAAGTGATTAACCAGGAGAGATGGAAAAAAGAACAAAAACTCAAGTTGATGGAAGAGGAAGAAACATCTTTCTGTACATTGTACAGGAGAATGTCCCTTGGGGTTGTCTGCCTGAGTGTCACTGAACTTGTTATATCCTTGTGGCTGCTAGTGTACCTCCTAACACTTGTTATACTAGCTTCTTAGTTCATCTTCTTTCTGTTTCGTCTTCTCTTTCACCTGTCTGTCAATGAGTTTATCATTTCACCCAACCTACTTATAATATTTATTGAGCACAACTGTCCATGAGACACTACGGTCGAGCCTGAAAGCAGAAGCACAACAGAGGTTTAAGCAAGTGTTTTCTGGTCAGGTCTCTACTTTGGGTGCTCTCTAGAATAAACAGGATATCCTTAGTGATGCAGAACAGAAGTGCTATAGGTGGAAAAGATTGAGTTTTCTTTAAAGGTAATACAGAGAGAGTTTTTGTCTGTTCCCAACTCCAAGGCACATTTTGTTTATCTTAAATCATTTAAGTCCTTGTAAACTTAACACATTTTCTTTTCACTTATGCCTGCAACATAGACATAACCTGTCATGTCTAGTTTTAAGCGCCACTAGGAGCTTCATAGAGAAGTTGTGAAGCTGCAGAGAGGAAGGTTTTTGCCTTGCCTTTCAGTGACAACCAGAATGCAGTTGGGCTGCACCTGGTCAGGGCACAACATTCAGGAATCCTACTTCTTCCCTGGGGAGAGAGCATGTGCATTTCCTCTCAAGTTTTTATGTTGCCCTTTGGCTATCTAGAAGAAATTTTTAAAAGCATGTTGTCTTGCTACCATTTACCTGAATGATGTAAAGCCGGGACAGTTGGGAATAATTCCCAGTGGGAAAATCTAAGCGGCACTCATCAATTTTGTCTCTCCCATTCATCCTCAGCAGTAGCATGGGTCGATGTCCTGTTTGTGCTTCTAGCTAACAAGTTGAGATATACAGTACTGAACCCTGCTCGTCCTGAAAGGGCTATCACTTCTATTGGCTTTACCAAAGCATTTTGTTTCCTGATGTGAATCCCAGCTGAAACAATACACCTTTTGTGTAGAACCTTCAGCAGAATTAACAGAAGACTAATCGCTTCATCGCTAATGCCACTCTTTATGTGTTTGAAGATTAAAACAGAAGAACTGCCACTGGCTCCACTTAGTGAAGCTTTTCTTTTTAAAAGAAATAAATAGTAGGCCTAAAGGAAAGAAATAATACATATATATATAGAAATATGTTTTATTTTTTATAACTCCCTTCTGTACCAAAAAAAGCAACCTTTATTTCGTGGCTCTGAGTATCTGAAGTAGTGGGTTAGTTGCCACACACAGTTAAGCAGGATCAGTGTGTACAGAAAGCCAATTCAGTGTCTGTAGAGTTCTTTTGTAGTTTTCTGTGTGAAGGTTTTTTTCCTCGTTTTGTTGTGAGTGTCATTTGCAATTCATTGTCTGTGTTTTCTGAGGTTGGTGTATTCAGCTGCTGTGACCCTGGGTCCCGCACATTTAGCTCCTTGGATACAATCCTCTGACGTTACTGCTGACGCTTGCAAGACAAAAGCCACTGAATATCTTAAGTAATAAAAACTGCCTTTGTGACTGTTCATTATTATAAAACACCTGACTGGAAAGAAAAGCGTGGAGGAAACTACATTTAAAGTTGGCACATGGCACTTTGGAATAGCTTCCTGAGCGTTGAGCAATGCAATATGAAAAATCACCAAGGGAAAAGGACTGTGGAGAGAGAAAACCTAGCATAGAGACCCAGGTCTGTAAAGTGGACCTAGCCCTTGAAGTAGGACCATTTTAACTCCATGCTGCCCTGACAGCCAGTAACTAAGTCACACGGTCCCATTTTAAGTAAGCACTATCACTGAAGATTATTTAATCTCACAGTGCTAGGGCAGATTTTCTAAGGTCATGTTTTAATTTCTATTGTCTGTCTATGTTGAAATGAACAATAAATTTGCAAAAATGAATTGCTTCACCAAGCATTCCAGCCAACTGGGAAAATTTGCTGTATACCAATCTTCACCCCTTCAGTACCAGCCAACCCTCCCCAAGAGAATGAAGCAGTAAGTCATTTCTGTCACTACAAAGAACCAAGACAGTACAAACCACAGAAGCTGAAAGCCTTACCTCGTAACATAAGAAAGAGCTAATCCAGCATAAAACACCAGCAGGGGAGGTTTTTAAAATCTTACACACTGTAAGCTATTAATGAAGTTCGAGTTTTCGCACAGCATCTCTTTGTGCTACTGAGAACCCCTCTTTGATGCATGCCGCTTGGTGTGTAGTGATGGCTCAGCCGGTAGTCAGGTAGATACCTGGTCATGGCAAGGTCTCCAGGTCACGGGTTGTATGCTGGAGCTGCATTGTGTGGACACTCAGTGGCCCCGAGGATAAGTTCACACAAGTCACACTTTCATATCCTGCTTATTTTATTAACTGGCAGACCTCTGGGGAAAAGGATTGCTCAGTCACTATCAGTTAATGAATATGCATCAGGCAGTCTCCCAGCCCCCACCACAGTTTCTTCCCAACCCTCCCGTCTTCAACTCCAAATTGCTAGGACTTGTTTTGGGAATTTGGTTTTGTTTTTCTTGACTCAGAAGTTAATGACACCACGGTTTCTGTTTTTAGTAGACTCTGTTCCTAAGCAGATAGTTTCTTCCCTTATGTTCTTTAAAGTAGAGTGAGAGGAAGTAGAGCTGTGGCTCAAAGTGGTAGAGCACTAGCCTTGAGCAAAAGAGCTCAGGGACAGCACCTGACCCTTGAGTTCAAGCCCCATGACCGACCCCCCCCCAAAAAAAGAGAGAGAGATACTGGAAATAGAAATTGAGATAAGAATTGGTTCCTTTCCATACCTCATGTCCACTTTCTGTTTAATTTTTTGGGAGTAAAGAATGAAGAAAAAAATATTGACCAAACTATTCATGACAGTCTTTTTTTTTTTTACAATCCTGCTATTGGCTGAGCTATTTCAGGTATAAGTTTCTGTGGTATTTTGTAAGACTAGAATGATGGCAATGAATTCCTGTGGAAGTAAACTGAAGTTTATCTTGTAGATTGTTTGGAGGTACAGTGGGTGACATTGCAGAGTGATAGGTGAATAATTTCCTGTACTCCAATATTGTTACTTATCACAGTAAATGTGGCCACTTACTAAATAACCCTATTTTTCTGGAGGGATGGGTACAAGGATAGGGATAATGGGGATTGAACCCAGGGCCTCATATATAGGCTTTACCCCTGAGCTACACCCTCAGACCCCCAAATAACTTGCTTCTGAATTTCTTCTTTCAATTGCAGTAATAATCCTATGAGATATAATACATTTTTTTCTGATAAGCTGACTTAGTTTGGTTGAATAACTTAGAAAAGGATACACACACACATATGTTCAATATAATGTCATATATAACTTACTAAAATTCTTATCAGTTAAAATGTACTTCTTTTCCTCTTTCCTAACTTCATGGATTGTAGTCGGGCTGCCTTCCTTGCTAGAATGTACATTACTAGCTCATTGAAGATAGGGATGGTCTGTCTTATCACTTATCTTTGGGCTAGCATAGTGCTTTCTTGGTAAGTAGTATGATAAATACTTAATGAAATTTTCAAGATGAGTGAATTTCTGAATGTATTAAAAATCACAAGAGGGCTGGGAAGTTGGCTCAGTGGTAGAGCGTTTGCCTTGCATGCTCAAGGCCCTGGGTTCGATTCCTCAGCACCACATAAGCAAAAAGAAAAAAGCCGGAAGTGACGGTGTGGCTCAAGTGATAGAGCACTAGCCTTGAGCTGAAGAGCTGAGGGACAGCGCCCAGGCCCAGAGTTCAGGACCCACGACCGGACCCAAAAAATAAATAAATAAAAAATAAAAATCATAAGAGCAGATTTTCTACAAGAATTGTGAGCCAAAGGGTAAGTTGTAGGAATAATATATAATATCAGTAAGAGGGAAGACATCTAGGTGAATAGGACAGTAGAGTCAAGGGGCTGGGGATGTAGCAATTCAGTGATAGTGTACTTGCTTAACATCGAAAGGCCCTGAGTTTGATCTCTACTTCCATAAAAAAGAAAAAGGTCCAGAAAACACACACACATCCACATATTTATGAGTAATTGATTTTCATTGAAAATGTCACAGCAATTCATTGAGGAAGGAAAGTCTTCAAAAAGATGAAATCTTTGTAATTTTTGTATATTTGTATTGGAAAAAAATGAACATTAACTTTTACCTCATGCCAACTTGAAATTAACATAACACAAAGTGGATCATAACCATAAATGTAAAAAGCTAAAGTCATAAAACTTGCAGAGGAAGAGCTCAATGAAAATCTTCATGATCCAAGTTAAGCTAAAACTTCTTAGCTAGGATGCAAAAAGTAGTAATTGTATAAAGAAAAGATTAAGTTGAAATTTCTCACAATTAAACCTGTGCCCTTTGAAAGACACTGTATAGAATATCGAAAATGCAACCCATAGGGCAGAAAAAAAGTATTTTCAATACACATCTGACAAAGGATTTGAATCTAGTATAACAAAGAATTCTTTGATAATAGGACAACACAAGTGAAAGAAGGGCAAAGCAAAACCAAAATGTAGCCCTTCGTAAAGTAATGGGAATGGCCAGTAAGCATACCAGACTGTTCACCAGTATTCGTTGTCAGTAAATGCAAACTAAACTGCTGTGGGATACTATTACACACATATTGGAATGATTACAACTGAAAATCTGACACAATCACTGTCAGTGAGGATGCAGAGCTACCAAAAGGCTCAACAAACAATTGTTTATTTATACAATAGAATGAGCTTTGATGTACACCAGTGAGTGAATCTTAGAATCATTATGCTAAGTGAAAGGAATAATCCTAAGACTATATATCACTCAACAAAATGCAAACTGAGCTACAATGTTACAAAGATCAGTTGGTCACTGGGGCCTAGGACAGGTGGAGAGATCTTTTGGGATTATCAGCATGGTCTGATTTTGATCATAGTCTTAGTAACACAAGTAAGAAAGAGAAAGAAGAGTGTGTATATATGTGTACTTTCATCAATTCATATACTTGCTTTTTTAAAAAAAATACTACTGGGGCTTGAACTCAGAACTTTACCATTGCTAAGTAGTACTCTACCACTGGAGCCACTCTTCTGTCAGTTCATGTTAAATAGAGGACATTTGTTGTATTGGTTATGGATTACAAGAAGGAAGGAGGGAAGAAGGGAGGGAAAGAGGGAAGAGCAAGGAAGGGAAGGAAGGAAAATGCAACTTTTTTCAAGTATGCATGTTCTAAGTTGTTTGAGCCTTAATAACTTGTCATCCCACTTTAAATAAAAGTACATCTTCACTACTTTAACCTACTTTGCTTTGCTGATTTGTGACTTAGAAAATAGGGCTTTGTAAGAAAGAGTATGCCCTGGTATTAGAAAAATAAATCATTGGAGACTCTTAAGTACAGAAAATGGGACAATAGATATTCTCATTAGTTGTTTTAGAGCATTACCTACTGCACTTTCTAAGGAATCAGGAAATCGTAAGAGCCTCCTACTTAGGGCATGTGTTTCACAAAGGCAAGTCTTAGTCGATTTCTTGTGACATTTTCTCAGAAAAATACCAAATAGCTAGTTAGCCATTCATGTTTTTTAATAAAAAATAAGAGGGAGTCTGATGGCATTTTAAAGTTCTATGGCTTAGAAATGGTAGTTCGTAGATCATGTTTTCAGGTACACACTTACTGTGCTGCTTTGAAAGCATGTACGTGTATGGTCCCACAAGTTCTTTAAAAAGTCTGTATAGAAAATTTTCTGATGAGATAATAAACTCAAACATGTGCTGAACAGTTTTCTTCTTCCCCATTCAGTGGCCAGCTGTAATGCCCAAGAATGATGTTGTGGGCCTGGCAGCACAATTTATAGCAGGATCCTGGCTCTTTGGCCATTGTTTAGAGGTGCAGCCATTTCTGTTTCCCTGCTGCATGATAATGCTTGTCTCAAGTTTTAGAAGACATGCTTGGCAGCCTGGTGGGACATTGCCTGAACCCTAGTCTCAAGCTGGGTAAAGTACACAATTGGAGCTGAAATCGCAACATAAATTTTAAATGATTTCATGGAAAAGGACAAACTTGTTGTCAGTGAACTTTACCATGATCCGAGCAGCAGTAGTCTTGTTTCTAAAACAGTAAGTGATCTATTGTCAGGTATCCTGTCCCATTTATTAGTTGGCACTAAAATAGCATAAATTAGTTGGCAGCTTATAGTGCAGACTCAACAAAAACTTCTTGAGGTTCAGTGTGACTATTGTCTTTCAGCTAAACCTTGATAAAATTTTCTACAAATGCATAGTTATAAGAAGTATAATGAGATTCTAATTTGACCTTGATTGAGCATTATGAAATTGCACTGCACTAGGAGAATTTCTCTGGGTATATCATACAGATTTTGTTATTGTTTTCAATAGTAATTGTTAAGGTGCACCATGTTATTTTTTGCTGCTTGAATTGTTGATTTTGAGTCCTAAATTGAGATCACCATTGGTTAGATAACATGAATATAGGAGGAGTTCAAAGAACTAGATGTGGAATTGTTTTGTTGTTGTTACTGTTCTTGTTGAACTCAAGGCCTCATGTTCTCACTGGGCTTCCTTGCTTATGGCTGGCACTCTGCTACTTGAGCCCTGCCTCTAGCCCAGGTTGTTTTGCCTTGCTTTGTTTTATTTTGCTGGTTAATTAGAGGTGGAGTCTTATGGACTTTTCTTCCCTGATGGGCTTCAAACCGCTACTAATCCTCCTGAGTAGCCGGGATTACAGTAGGCTTGAGCCACCAATGCCTGGCTTGAATGTGGATATTTCCTGGTCCTCTGGTAACTCCATGATCTGGCCCATGAGCACCCTAGGGTTTATGTGTGTAGATGACACTTATGGAGGCTCTGGGGCAAGAGGGACCTTCTAATGTTAACATCTGTTCTTAACTGCTCAGCCCTTCATGGGAAAAAGACAGCTGGAAGCTGGAGAGGCTCAGTGGTTTCCACACAACTTTAACAACAGGGCAGGCCTGAGTTTCCCAGTTTCTAAGTCTCTGTGTTGGATCAATTCTACAAGCCAAGAGACTGCAAACTTTTTCTTGAAGCAGGCAGTGAATCCCAGGATGTTTCTAAGAGGACAAGAAAGAGTTAACATTTTGTCCACTTCCAGAGGGTCAGCCAGATAGATCACTCAGGAAGGAAGAATCCATTCCTATTGGACTGTATCTAGCTTCCCTAGAGAAGAGACCTAGCCTTTATCTGTTTACCTGTTTGATACAGAGCAGGTGTCCATTAACTGCATAATAAATGATTGGTTAAAAAATGAACAAATCCCTATTTCTTCATTCTCTTCTCCCTTTTTCACTTATAACTTTATGATTGTTGATTTTTCTTTATGAAGCCTATCTGTCACCCTGTGTTGACCCCTTGCCTGTGGATACTACAGAGTCATCTCTTATCCCTTAGTAGATAGAACAGAACCAATTACCAACTTGATGACTTATGAGATTGGCCAATGATTAAAATTCCCCAAATATGTCCAAATGTCAAAAATAGTTAGATTGGTGTTACTCTGGTCTTCTTTGTAGACTTGTAAACATCAGTGAGAAAAATTGCTTTTAAAAGTCAGTAGTCACCAGGCGCTGATGATTCATGCCTGTCATTCTAACTACTCAAGAGGCTGAGATCTGAGGATTGTGGTTTGAAGCCTGGGCTAGAAAGTTCATAAGACTCTTAGCGTAAATAAACTACTCAGAAAAGCTGGAAGTGATGCTGTGGCTCAGGTGATAGAGCACTAGCGTTCAGCAAAAGAAACTCAGAAGCAGTGCCAAGGTCCTGAGTTCAAGCCCCAGGACAGGCGCTCATATACACACACAAAAAATGAGTCACATGCAGTTATTTCTTTTGAAATGTTTGACTTGTAGACTAGTAATTATTTAATACAGTTTTGGTTTTGGTTTTGTTTTATTCACTATTAATAAAGGTACCATTGGATACAACCAGCGAAATAGAATTGATACTCTCATGTATCTGCTAGCATATCCACAAAAACCCATGGTTAAAACAAAAACCATTGAGCTGATAGAGTTTGAAAAATTGCCAGCTGGACAGAATGCAACAGTTGCTGTGATGAGTTACAGTGGCTATGATATTGAAGATGCACTTGTTTTAAACAAGGCTTCCTTGGACAGAGGTAAGTTCTAATATCAAGTTGTGTTTGTAGAATTAGTTATAATGGATGATGAACGTAAAACCAGCTTATCATCTGAACAACAGTTTCAGCTTCAAGGGATTTGAATTTTATAATACATAAATAAGACACAGATACATTTTGGTAAAAGCTCTTTTAATATCTTACATGGAAATACTGAGTATACTGCTATAGTATGCTCAAGTCAGTGACTTGAGTTAGTTTCTCAGAGAAAAAAACAGGAATTAATTTATTTTCCAGCAAGAGTTACAATAGATGAAATAAATGTATATATGCCTATATACATATATATATATGTATATATAGTAATATATTCTAGAACAAATCTGTGTGAGAGCAGAGTAGCAATGTCCACAATGGAAAAGGTTATTATTTATTGTATATCTTAGACTAACAATCTAGTAGGCTGTTGTTTGTTTTTTAACCAAATGGCAAAAGTTTAAAATATAGCTATCCGAACCCTACCTAGTGCATCATTGTGTTCTTGTCTCTCTAATAGTTCACTTTTGCAGGTCAGCCCCTTGTGCCTCACCATCACCTGATCTGCAGGCTGACTTCTCTATTCATAATCTCTGTTTCTTTTTTTCCTCCCTGGCATGCCCACTGAGCCTTCCCCTTTCCTCTCCGTAGTTGCTAGGCAGCCATAATAGTACTCCTAGCCATGTGTCATTGGCATTAATGTTGGCTGCACTTAATTTATGCCTCTTTTTTTCCTCCAAATGACAACGGCTATATTTTAAAACTAGTTATTTTCCTTTCTGATTAACTGGTAACGTTTATGTGGAAATCTGAAGGCTGTTATGCCTGTCAGAAACTCCGCAACCCAGTTTAATGATCTGAGTTTACTGGCCCCAGCTTTTAAGCTACCACCTGTAAATAAAAGGTCCCTTTGCACTCAGAAGAAAATCGTTCTTGATTTTATATAGTTTGAATTCATGCTGCACACCCATGTTGTTGGCTGTCATATGATATTTCAAGACCCTGGCCCACTGAGCTGAGTTTATTATGGCCATATACAGTTTATGAGAAATCTTGATGATGAAGACGTACTCAGAGACACACATCTACAATCCAGCCATAGAACTCAGTTTCATCCCATAGTCATCTTTAAGTTTTAAAAATTACGAGAGAGTGCTGAGGTTTTATTTTAGAAATTTACGTTTGTCTGATTGATTTTCAGAGCTCACAGATTTCTCTAAGATTTCTAATTTGGGTGGAGAATCCTAAATGAAGTATTTTACAGCTGTGCATAGATTTTATTAGCAAAGCTGGCATTTCATCCTGATAGATGTTTTGCTGTTAAATGGAACTCTGACCTGGCTAGATAGAATCTAGCTTAATATAAATCTTGGGCTGAAGGAAAATAGGGGGAAAATGACAGCTGATGGTGTTTGTTTTAAGAGATTCATTAGTTGAGATTTTGTATCTGATTTTTTTCTGTCCATTTTTCTTTTTTTTATGCTATTATTCACTAGTCAAATGCAATCTAAGAATGTAATTAAACTAATCTTTAGGGCAGAAGTAAACTTTGTCTCTCCCATTGAAATAATTATCTTGTCTTCTTTTTATTCTTTTTTAAAATTCTTTTCTCTGGAGAAGAAATATTGTTTACATGTTTGCTTGCTTGTTTGACATTTACCCATAAATACCAAAATCACAGTGAAAGGAAAATTGTCCAGGGAAGCTTAGCAGAATTTAGTCACCAGAAGATTGTATACCAAGGATCCTCACTCAGGAGTTGGTGAACTTGGTTCTGTTCTCAGATTTGCTGCCCACTTGCTGAGTGACCCTGGCTGCTTAATTTCTCTGGACTTCACTCAATGTGCCTGTAAAAAAGAGGGGGGTTTGCTGGATGCTGGTGGCTCACGCCTGTAATCCTAGCTACTCAGGAGGCTGAGCTCTGAGGATCATGCTTCAAAGCCAGCCCAGGCAGGAAAGTCCATGAAACCAGAAGTAGCACTGTGGCTCAAAGTAGTAGAGCACTAGCCTTGTGCAAACGAGCTCAGGGCAGCATCCAGGCCCAGAATTCAAGCCCCACTACCAACAAAAGAAAAAAAAAAAAAAAGAGGGGTTTACCAGTGCTTTCTCTAAAGTATTTTTTGATTCTAGTCTGGTTCTTCCTCTAACATGACCACCTGTGGATTCCATGCTGGCAGATGGCTGGAAGATTGAAGTTTGTTTGACAGCTGGTAGGCAAGGAGCCCTGAGTCCTTTTTTTCAGATGATCAGGTTGATACTAGTTTAAGCCAATCCCATATTATCCAGGACTAGAACCGTCGAGGGCTTTTTTGGAGAAAGTGAGAGGGGGTAGATGGTAGAATAGCACCAATCAATCCCTTGTTTCTTCATAGCATTTTTATTACATAATTGGATACTATATATTTCTTTTTTTAATTGTGAAAATACTGTACAGAGTTACATGGGCAAGATGCAATTGGATATTATATATTTCAAACTGACCCATTTTTGGCTTCACTTTAGGGTTTGGGCGTTGTCTTGTATATAAAAATGCTAAATGTACATTGAAACGATACACCAATCAGACTTTTGATAAGGTGATGGGGCCCATGTTAGATGCTGCTACGAGGAAACCTATCTGGCGACATGAAATTTTGGATGCAGATGGCATTTGTTCTCCAGGTAAAAGTTTCAAAAAATATATATAAATTTTGATGTATACTTTTTGAAAATTATTCATCAGTACTTTTGAATATTTAGTAAGCAGGGCAGAAAGAAGCAACAGCCTAGAATATTATCTAGACTCAACCAGTATGATATTCTTGAGTGAATCCACTCTATTTTTCTTTGTTATGTTTTTACTTAGCAGTAATTTATTTGAACTAGTCAGACATTTAAGGAAATGTTTCGAATAGGATTTTATGCCTGCATTTACACTGGTGCTTACTTTTTGCCAGTCTGGGGCTTCAACTCAGGGCCTGGGAACTGTCCCTGAGCTTCTTTTGCCCAAAGCTAGCGCTCTAACACTTGAGCCACAGCACCACTTCCTGCATTTTCTGTTTATGTGGTACTGAGGAATTGAATCCAGGGCTTCATGCATGCTAGCAAGCACTCTACCACTAAGCCACATTCCCAGCTGTGATATTTCTTGATTTATGCATTCTGCTGACTGTTTTAGAGTTCTCTTTCTCGACAAAGTATGACTCTATTATGATTACAGTCTTATAATGAATTTATTGATGCAACACAGAGCTCTGTGTTGCAGAGGGTCTTACAGAATAGTAGAACAGTCCATGAGACAGAGGTGTATCAATCATACACAAACATGTCAAATTGAAACCAATTTAAGCAGTCATATAGGAAGCTATGAGGCCATTGTAGGGCAAGATTTGACTTAGATCGGAAATTCAGGATGGCCTTTTGCAAGTAAATGATATGAAATCTGAAGGACGCATTCAAGTTGGGTACTGAAATGGAGAAAGGAGTAAGTTCTGAGCAGAGCACATCCTATGGCTTGCTAGCCAGTGGACCTGAGAGCAGGCCAATATGACAAGAAGAAGAGAGTGCAGGCGAGTGTGGGAACATGAGTGGCTGGAGAGCTGAAATGAGGGAGGGCACAATGGGCCCAGACATGACAAGCCTGTTTTCAGTATGGTGCCCATAGCAATGATAGGACCAGGTTTGTGTTTTGAATTGGAGAAAAGCTGAGAAGGGCACCAGAGGAGAGGAGAGATTAACTAAATGCTATTGGGCAGATCAGACACTAGGCACACACCTGGTCAGTGGTTGCTGTCTGGGTGTCAGAGCTGCATGGAGTTGTGGTTCCCCGATGCACACAGCACGTGACTCCCCTCATTCTCTCTGCCTTTATACACTGGAGAATCTCTCTCACTCTTCATACTGGACATTGTGGCTTGGAAAATAAGTGCTAGGACAGTAGTCTAAGTATTTGATCTTTGAGCTTACCATGAAGAGATGAAAACTTGATACTAGTTGAAGTCCAAACCTATTCTGACATTCCAAGAGATACATAAAATTGCTGTTGATTGTTCATTTATGCATAGAGTTACAACCAAGCAATCTTCACATTCTGTAAGATGATACTGATTTGTTCAACACTGTTTTCCTTTCCTTAGGTGAGAAGGTAGAAAACAAGCAAGTGCTTGTAAACAAGTCCATGCCCACAGTGACTCAGATTCCTCTGGAAGGAAGTAATGTGCCACAGCAGCCACAGTACAAAGATGTGCCCATAACGTAGGTATTGTTGTGCCTTGGTAAGATACAGGAAGGTTAGGAAAAGAGCAGAGATCAGGGGTAGTATAAAACAGATCCTAGGGCTGGGAAGGTGGCTCAGTGGTAGAGCGCTTGCCTTGCATGCCTGAGGCCCTGGGTTCGATTCCTCAGCACCACATAAGCAAAAAGAAAAAAGCCGGAAGTGGTGCTATGGCTCAAGTGGTAGAGCGCTAGCCTTGACTGAAGAGCTGAGGGACAGCGCCCAGGCCCAGAGTGCAGGCCCCACGACCGGACCCCAAAAAAACAAAAACAAAAACAGATCCTGGTAGGTGGGAAAGCTAGAAGTAGCATTTGCAGGCACTGTTACTTGTCATGAAAAGAGCATCATTTAAAGATAAGACCAGGCTGTGGAATGATCTGGACTTCATGCCCTGGTACAAGGTGCATAGCACACAGGCAGGAGCTTAAGGTGTGGGGAGACAACAAGGGCACGTGGCAGAGAAGGCCTGGGCTTTGACAAGGAAGGGCAGCTGTGCTGTGAGAATGTGGCAGAGCGAGGAATTCATTCCGTGAGGAGTGACCCAGTCAGATTTGTGTTAAAGATAATGAAGTAGCCACAATGTGGCATCCCCAGTGTCTGATCTGATTTTAGGTCTGCCCGTATCATGGGTTTGCTCACACAGCTAAAGCATTTGAATGTTGTCTGTTTTCTCATCTGTGCAGTGAAAGAGATAGATAAACTTGTTACTCTCCAGGCTTCTTCTTCGCTCTAAAATCAAATATGAAACTACATGAGCCAGTGCCAGTGACTACTTAGACACCATTTAGGAGAGAGAGCCAGGTCTGGGAGCCAGGCCGGGGGAGCTTAGGAGATGGGGAAGGGTGGCACAGAAGGATGGGATTCCTGAGCTGGTAAGGCAGGTTTTACAACCCCCTCCACACACTGTAGTCCTGGCTGCTTTGTCCCAGGTTCTGTGAGCATGTGCTAGGTTTACAGAGCACATGTAAGCCATAGGCCTTGCCTGCAGAAAGTCACCACCTAGTTGGCAAAGAATTCTTCACAAAAATGCTCACAGTCGCCTCTTTGAGAACTCACAGTGTCAGTCATTGTTGTGGGTATCCTGCATGCTAACTGCCTGCATCCTACATGTTAACTACCTCACCCATGAGCTGTGTTCTCTTTGTAGCTCTTAGAAAGATGTGGAAACAGAAGCAAGGCAGGGGTAGGTGCCTTCTCAAGATCACAGCTGTATGTGACAGAGGCAGGATTTGAACTCAACGCAGTCTGGCAGCAGAGCACCCTTTGAGCATGGCACTAACTGTGGCAGTATTTGGAAGGAGCTTTGTACTCCTCTCTGAGGATGGGAGCACAAAGAAGAGAATGGGCAGTTCACTTGGGGAAGGGTCCTGTGCTGTTACTGAGTCCCAAGCAGAGCGCACTGGGTATGCCTGATGGCTCTCTTTGTCTACAGAAGGAATCTCTCTGTTTAAAAGCCAGTCTCTCTTTCTCTTAGTTCCTTAACTTTCTTTACTTGCAGAATATTGTTATTTTGTCTTCTGTCTTCCATTTGTTTTCAACCTGTTTTTTATTCCCTCTTCAGAAGCCAAAAAAATATTTATTGTTATAGGAAAATATTTTTTCTGCACTTCCTGTTCCTTTCTAGCCACCATTCTGTTCCTCTTCCTTTCATGGATCATTTCATTTCTGCTTCCCCTCATTCCCTACCCACAGAAGCAGGCTCCACCTCTTCACGCCACTGAGCAGCTCTGGAAGGCATCACCATCTTCTCATTCACAGAATACCTTTTAAGTATGAACACTATGCCAGGAACTAGTCCAGGTGTGGGATTGTACACTTAAACAAAACCAGTAGCAATCCCTGCTTGTGGAGTTCACACCCCAGTGCAGGAAGACAACACAGTGAACAGTTGGTCAGATCCGCCCATCTCAGTGGGTCTTCAGTCCCACTCTTGTAGACTGAGAATATGGCTCTTTTGTTGCCCTTGTATTCTAGTGCCTGGCAGGGTTGAATACATACGTGAATTATGTATGACTTTTCTGGGGATTTGGTTCAGGATACCACCTCACCTGATCCTCCTGCTGTTCTAGTTGCCCATTCTCCACTTCCCCTCTGCCAGGCCTGGTAGTGTCCAGACCATGAGCTCCTGTACCTAGCCTGGATGTGCTCTGTTGCTTGCAGAAATCCAAGCTCTCAAGAGCTTCCCGACATCCTTCCATACTTAACATTTGGGCATGTCAGGAATGCCCCGCCTAGACCAGAACCATCATCCACCCCAGCCCCAAACAGCCTTTCCTCCTGAGTCCTCCTCTCGGATACCACCATCTTAACTAGTCACCACCTACGGTACAAACTTCTCACTTGCCACACTTATCACCTTGGCAACTCCTGTAGGTAGGTCTGTCTCCCTTCTCCTCCTGTAGTTCTGACCACCACCCCTGCCCTAACAGTGATTACTCACTGTTCACTCACCCCCTCAGATGCTGTCTCTCACCCCTCTCACGCACGGCTGACTCTGATTTTTCTAAATGATTCATCTCACCATGGCACCCTCTTGGACGGTAACGCACTGAGTCACAGTGCTGCCTGTGGAAGGTGGACTACCCACAATCCGTGTCCCCTCCACATTTTCAGTGTGCCTCTTGCCTTTGCCCTGCACACCACGCCCATCACTCTAGGAAATCACCTGTAACTCTCTAAAATGGGAACGGGGCATTGGGTATTCACTCAGTCTCCTCCTCCTGTGAGACTCCCACCTCGAGGGTCACCTTCTTTATGACAGTGCTTGACAGCCACTCCTTCCTGCTGCCATTGTTGTGCCAGTTCCTAGCAATTGACTGATGTCTCCTGTTCTCCATCCCACTGAAGTCTGGACCACTTTTACCCTTCTTCCTTACTGCTGGGGAGCCCCTTTTGTACAGGAACTGTCTTCCCAATACCTGTATGTCCTGAGTCTGCATGGGTTAGACTCTTAAAGACTTTTACAATGTCAGTTGTATGAAAAACAGAAGAGGCGAAGTGTAGGGGGAAAAAAAGTAATGATAAAGCTGAATTACATTAAAGGACTGTTAGCAGAGTGGTGCAGAATCTGGAGCTGAGCCTGCTCAAATCCCAGCTCTACCTGTGCGGCCAGTGCCTGAGCCCACGTCACCTACCCTTTCCTAGCATCTACTTCTGTTGTTTCTTTGAAGGTGTAATGACTTGGAATCGTTGTAACAATGTTTGCTGGGCCTGCTTCAGTGAGTGTATAGGATGGTAAAAGGGAATTTCATGATAAAAATGAAAATCATTTTTTGGGGCCACAAATGAGAATGTCAGAAGACGTTGTGGGATTCATATGAGTATTTCTAATGGGTGATAGATTCACCAGGGGAAGTTTGAAAACTGTTTAGTAACTTTCTGTTCACCTTAGGTATAAAGGGGCAACAGATTCCTACATTGAAAAAGTGATGATCTCTTCCAATGCTGAAGATGCTTTTTTGATCAAAATGCTTCTGAGGCAGACGAGGCGGCCAGAGATCGGAGACAAATTCAGCAGTCGTCATGGGCAAAAAGGTAACCCTGTTTAGAAAACTGAATGTGTTCTCCCTAGTAAAGAAAAAGAAGTATTGTATTTGAAAAAATACTACATTATATCAATTACTGTTTTCTCAGATTAACCTATTTGTATTTTAATAACATTTGGTAGCATATGATACAGTTGCTTATAGAACTATTTATTTCCTTCTCTGCCCAAAAATATAAATACATTCTGGATAATGTATCTCTAGAAGTACATGTGACAACAATAACAATACTCATATTTTCTTCTTATGAAAGTTCCATTTTTAAACTACAGTGTGTTCTTTGGGGTTGTAGTATTGTCAGCTGTCACATCTAGAAGACACTCAGAATTTTGTGCCCTCTATTTAACAGCTAAAGTTCATAGTGTGTATTTTTAGTGGCTGATCTGGGTGCCAGGTGAACTGGCTGCTGACCTGTTATGAGGATCTGGTCTCCCAAGCCCAGTGCAGTGTTTTCCCCCTGCACCAGAGATCCATCTCTGCCATCTGCTTCATTGTGAGCCTTTCCTTTCATTGATGGTTTATACCCAAGTTTCATTTGTAGTTTTGTTTATCTTCAACAAGTCGAGCATGCTATCACTACTGATTCATTTTCAGTAGAATCTCACTTAATCACTGTTCATAGAGTTTAGGAATGGAACATACTAGATACTCACTTTATAACAGTTGCATACCTGAATGAGCAAGTGAGTGAACTGAAGTTACATCACAGCAGAATTCTCTCCTGTCCATCTAGCATGAGTGCCGTATGAACCCACATATGTGCCCACGGCAGAGCTGTGCTGGTGTGATGAACCCATCAGGAAACTCCAGTCAACAGGCCTCTGGGTGTAAGGCCGGGAAGTCTTTCTGCCAGTAGCGTTTTTCTACTGTTACTCTGATAAGGATAATGCTCATTGACAGAAGAGCTTTCTGATTTGTAATGACCTGAAACGGCAGATTTTAGAGATCTCCTTATGGGGGTCGTTGGGGGTGGGGGGGGCGGACGGGTACAGAGGGGCTGTGACGTATACATCTCTCCAAGACTGGAGCAAGTCCTCCTGGGTATGGCTGACCTTTCACTTGTAGTGAGGAGTTTGTCTTGCAAGTTTTCCCACTCCAGATGGCTTCTAATCCAAGGGTAAAAACCTTCTGATTAGCCCACATTCCCCTGACAGACACCCTCTCTTACAGCTTCATGAGATTTATTGAAAAGACTGGAGAGGAAGGAGACAGCAAGCAAACAAAAATAGAAGTATAGGCTTTAACAGAGGGATGGAAGAGATGACGTGAGACTCAACATAAAATTTATCTTTTAATTCTTTACAGATACCAAGTGTACATGATTTTATTTTTTAAAAAATTTTTTGGGGGTCCAATTGTGGGGCCTGAACTCTGGGCCTGGGTGCTGTCCCTCAGCTCTTCAGCTCAAGGCTAGCACTCTACCACTTGAGCCATAGCGCCACTTCTGGCTTTTTTTCTTTTTGCTTATGTGATGCTGGGGAATCGAACCCAGGGCCTCATGCATGCAAGGCAAGCGCTCTACCACTGAGCCACCTTCCCAGCCCCATGTACATGATTTTAAACAGCTTTTTTTTTTTCCTTAAATAAAGGAAGTGTTTAGAAGTAGGGATGTAGTTGAGTGGTAGAGTGCTTGCCTAGCATTTGTGGGACCCTGGGCTCAATGCGTAACCACCACAAGAATTAGAAAAGAGGAAGGAGAAAAATTCAGTGTTGAGCCAAGTATGGTGTCTCACTCCTGTGTGATCCCAGATACATGGCAGGGAGAGATTGAAGGATCCAGGTTTAAGACTTGGCATAGGCCAAAAACACCAGACCCTCTCTGAAAAATAACTAAAGCAATAAAGCCTGGAGATATGGAAAACCTTCAAACTAAGAAAACATATAACAAAAACATCTACTAGATGACTTTTTTTCCCTTTAAGCCTCGGCCTCCCTAACTTTAAATGAAGATATTCCTAAGGGGCTGTATGTGTGCATACTGGTGTGTGTGCAGCAGTGACCGCAGGGCCTGGTGCACAGACAGCGGGGAAAAACGGTGAACCCACCAGTGGGTCTGTCCAGTTCTTCTGCAGCCAGAAACCAAAGGCTTTGACAAAGAGGTGGAAGAAAAAGGATGGTAATAGAAAGAAATCAATGTAACTGGTTGGATTACTCAAAAAAGGAAAAAAGAGAGGACACAGCAGAGTCTATGGGGTTGAAACTGATAAAGGATAGCACCAATCTCAAAGCCACTGTGTCTTGCTAACTTGAGATTGGTATTGTAAGATACTTGACTTTCCGTCCTCTCATCCTGGGTTTTCTCTATGTACCAAGAACTGGTGTCAGTATTAAAACCTGAGAGTAAATAAGACTGACACACAGGGTGTCTGCTCTCCTATAGAGTTGATGTCCTCTTGGAGAGAAACAGAAATAAAACAGAAAATATGAACATAAAAGGTAGTAATAAGGGCTATATGTGAAAGATGATGTAAAAGTGACTAGTTTGAAGTTGAGCATTGTATTTTGGATCAGTATTTAGAAGCAGCTTCTGGAAGGAAGTGGCATTGAGATAAGACCTGAAGGATAAACAGAAGGAGCCTGCCAAGCAAAAAGATGGTGAGAATTAAGTTCTGGGCAGAAAGAACTTTTAGGACAAAGGAGCTGAGGCATGAGGGAGCTTAACATGAGGTAAACTATGTGTCTGGCCAGAATAGGCCTGAGGAGCAGCATGGGGTAGGTTGTGGGTAGAGAAGTAGGACAGGACACTTCCTACAGGGCTCTATGGCCAAATGGAAAGGAGCTCGTGCTTTATTCTGAACATGGAGGGGACTAGGACTGTTGGATGGTGAATGTAAGCAAAGGAGTACCAAGAGCTGACATAGGACTCTTAAGAACTCAGCCTGGCATTGTGGACTGGGCCCGAGGAAAGGGAAAGGAAGGGCACAAAGCCACCATTGCAGTGGCCCAGGACAGAGCAGAATGATGGCCTTGGACTAGGTGGAGCAGTAGAGAGAAGTGAGTAGGTTCTCAGCAGAATGTACCAGTAGCTTAGCCATTGGGAGATGATAAGATAGGAATTGAGGAATAAGTCTGTGGCCTGAGCACCTGATAGTGCTGTTCACCAAGCTGAGGAAGACTTGGCTTCCCAAGGTGTTAGATATGATAAAGGCAAGAGAAGAAGGTATTGGAAGGAAGTACAGGGGGCAGTGATTGCAGCTGGTTCATCTAGAACCTCCCTGTGCAGTGAGCATAGCTCACAGAAGGAGCCACATAATAATCCAAAGAGGAACTGGATCAGGCCTATAAGAATCAGAGGTTGACGAGTAAAGTGTGAATGGACTGGAAACAGTGGCACACATCATTTGAATTGCCATGAAGAGAGCTATGAAGATTTAAGTGTAGTGATTTCTGGATATAGGTGTCCTGTTATGATTCCTGCCAGTGTTTAGTCAAGCTTAATTTCCATTTAAGAGAGAGAGAGAGAGAGAGTGTGTGTGTGTGTCTTAAGGGTGTGTGTACGTGCATGTGTGCGTGTGTGTGTGTGTGTGTGTGTGTGTGTGCGTGCGTGCACTTCCCAGTCCTTGAGGCTTGGACTCATGGCCTGGGTGCTAACTTTGAACTTTTTTGCTCATGGCTAGCACTGTACCATTGAAGCCATAGTTCTATTTCTGGCTTTTTAGCAGTAATTAGAGATAAGAGTGTCACAGACTTTCCTGCCTAGGATGACTTCAAACTGCCAAACTCAGATCTCAGCCTCCTGAGTAGCTAGGATTACAAGCATGGGCCACTGGCACCCAGCTAATTTTTACTCTTGAAATGTAAGATTGCTGGAAAATATTATTTTCCAAACATCTTGTTCTCTATGAAAAAAATTGAAAGATAATTTTGCTATAGTGTATCTTTTTTCCCTCCATATAGAATGTCATATTTGTTGTTCTTGATATTCAGAAAATGACAGAGTCCTACAGAGTCCTGTCTGAAGTTGTCTTTGGCAAAGCTGTTGTTAGGGTTTCTTTTTATACATGCATAATGTATAGATTGTATTTCTGTGCCTAATGCTTTCTAAAATAGCCTCTCCAACCATTAGAGGAAACTTGAAAAATGCAGTTTCACAGACTGTGAGAGCCTATCCTGCTCAAGCCTGATCACTTCAAAGTTGTAGGATAATTAGTAGCTAAGCGAAACAAGTGTGCAGAGGAAGCCGAACAGCAGCTATAAGCTGTGGGCGATGAAAGAGTTGTGAAGAAGATGGACGAGGATGGAATGAGGCGGTAAACTGGAACAGGAGAATCCATACCATTACGGTTGAGAAGCCACAATAGCAGCATGCGATCAGCAAAGAACTGAAGGCAGTTGGTCAGAGATTGCCAGCTTCAGAGGGAAATGTGTTTTCTCAGTTGCTATATAGCCCTGACAGGCCAGATAGCATACCTAGCCTCCTGTATCTTCAAAAGTTGAGGAGGACTGAGCACACAGAGTCACATGCTAAGGACGGAAAAAGAATTTCTATGAAAACAGTTTCACAACATAAAAACTACTCCAGAATCAGAAAAGGGCTGGGTTTATTCCCAGAGCAGTATGTGAGGGAATTTGAGTACAGTCCTCCTTTGGGTCTTTATGAGCTCAGTTACATATTTTATCAGTCACCACCCATCAAAAGAGTGTAGACAAGAATCACTAGAGCAGGCCATCCTTTATTAGTACACTCAAGTTAGCAAAGCTCAGATTATTCAGTAATAATCTATGCAACAAAGTTGTAAATGTTTATAAAGGAAAGACAGTCTGCTTTGGATTGGCTTTGTATTCACCTGGGGAGAGGTAAAGAAATCTTGAATTTCCAGGAATTCTGGGCTGTGTGGAGTGAAGAAGCTGTGACTCAGCTGAGGCATGATGGCACCCCAGGGAGAGGTAGGGCAGAACACAGGTCTGCAACGCCCTTCTAGCTTTCCTCTTCCTGCCCTTTCCTGATCAGCTTATAGGCAAAGTTATAAAATCAGTCATTCGTACATT